GCCCTCCCCCTTCCCCTCCCCCTTATTATTGCCTGCCTCCCTCCTCCCCCTTTGGTTCCTTCCCCTCCCTTCCCATCTGCCCCCCCCCCCCACCCCACCCACCCCGCCACCCCACCCCCACACCCCCACACCACCACACCACCCCGCAGGAGCGCCGCAGCGGCAATCTGACCAGCCGCCCGACCAGCCGCGACCAGTCCACCCGCCAGCCAAGCGGCCGCGAGGCACCCGCCCGTGCAGCCGGCGGCGTGCGTCTCGGCGGCAGCCGCCCCTCCGCCGCCCTCCCGGCCTCCGGTGCGTCGGCCACCACGTCAAAGGTGGTTGCCCTGCCTCGGCTCCGGGGGGACTCTTCTCGGAGCCTCCCGGCACCCCCTCTCATGGCGGCACCGCACTCTCCTCCTCCTTCTCCGTCTCCTGCTCCGTCTCCTTCTCGTCTCTCCTTCTTATTGCCGTCACCCCGCTTATTAGGCGGCGCTCGTCGCGCGGCCGCTGCGCCCTCTCTCGCAGCCTCTGCCTGAGGGGCGGAGCGGCTTTCCCCCTCCCAGCAAGGCGCGAGAGATAGAGGTAGCCGAGAGGCAGCCGAGAGGCAGCCGAGAGGCAGCCGAGAAACAGCCGAGAAACAGCCGAGAAACAGCCGAGAGAGAGAGAGCCGAGATGCAGTCGAGATGCAGTCGAGATGCCGTCGAGATGCAGTCGAGATGCAGTCGAGATGCAGTCGAGATGCAGTCGAGATGCGGGAGCTGCCTCCCTCGGCGCGAGAAAGGCGTGTGGCGCCGGGGCAGCACCGCCTCCTCCCCCAGTCGCCAGCGCAGCGCCTCCTCCCCCTCCCTCTGCCGCAGCTCCCTCCCTCTGCCGCAGCTCCCTCCCTCTGCCGCAGCTCCCTTCCTCTGCTGCAGGAGCTGCGGATGCTTGTGAGGCCTCTCCCCCCGTCGACGTCAGAGGGGTCGTCGGCGCAGGAGGAGGCCGTCGCAGCCGCGCACCGCCCGCCGGCGCGTCTAGCCAAGAGCGGCGCTGCGGGTGGCGCCGACGGCGACCGCCGGCCGCGCACGTCGTCTGGCCGAGGCGGTGCTGCGCGGGCGGCGGCTGCAGAGCCGACCGGGGCGGAGAAGGAGCGCCTCGGCGGGCTCGCGAGGAGGTGGGCGCAGGCGCGACGGTCTCGCGACTACTCGAGTGCGGACGCGATCCGGAGCGAGATCCGGCGCGCGGGGTTTGAGCCGGAGGAGCTTCTCGCTCTCGCGGAGGAGGAGGCGGGCGTGGCCGCGGGGGGCGTGGCCGCGGGGGGCGGGCTTGGCGGCGGGGGTGGGGCGAGGGAGGGGCGGAGGGCGGAGCGGAGGGGCGTCTCTTCCCTCGACTGGGACGAGGCGGAGGGACGGACGTCCGAGGTGGTGCGAGATGACACCCGAGAGGAGAGGCGGGGCGGGTACCGCGAGTAGGTGGAGAGGCTTGCGGCGGAGTGGCAGGCGGCGAGGCGGGGTAGGGACTACGCCGCGTCTGACGCCCTCCGAGCAAGGCTGCGCGGGACGGGGGCCGAGCCGGAGGGGGAGATCACCCCGCGATCACCCGAGATCACCCGAGATCAGGCTGCGCGAGATTGGCGTCGAGCCGGAGGAGGTTGCGCTGCACGCAGAGCGAGGCGGGCGAGGGCGGCGCGACGGCGAGGCGGCGGCGTGGGGCGACGGCGAGGAGGAGGGCGTGCCGCACGTGAACGAGGGCGTGCAGATCACTCCGCACTTGCACGAGCAACACCACCTCGTCTCGCGCCACTCGATCACCGGCCAGCTGCTCACGCACGACTACCAGACAGTGGAGGAGTTGCCGCCCGAGCTGGGCCTCAACGTCGTCTCCCAAAAGTGGGGCATCTCGGCCGAGGCGGCCGCCGCGCTCAAGGCCGAGCGCGAGGCCAAGGAGGCGGCGCGGCGGGCGGAGGCCGCTCGGCAGCCCGCCTTCAAGAACCCCCTCTTCCCCAGCCCGTCCTCGCGCGGCGCCAGGCGGGCCGACAGCGCCGCCGAGTGGCCGATGCCGTGACGGGGAGTTCCGCCTTCTCCCAAGCTCCTCTCCCGCCCGCACGGGGCTGTCAAGGGCTGCAACGCTGAGCGGTGCACGTCCCCCCCCCCCCCCCCCCAACACCCACCCACCCACCCACCCACCCACATGAAGGCGGGGTGCCCCGCCGTGATTTCTTTTTTCAGAAACGGTTGATGTATCATGAAGGAAATTCTACTAAGGAAACAAATCACAGAACTAACACGGATATAACGTAATACGTAAACATGCGGTTCTACGGGTCCCATATGACCACGGGCGTACAAAACACGCATCTCACATGCATCGAGAGCGCTCACGCTCCATACTCTACTCTCTAGTCCATTCACATCAGAGTTCAGACCGGTCTGTCAGACGCTCAAGCTGCTCGCTCCTTGGCTTCCCAGCAGGGACGCTCTGCGCGTGTCCGTCGGGCACGCTGACGGTTGGACGCTCTCCATAGCTCTGCACGCCTCTAGCTCGGCTGCCCCGTGAGCCGCTGCACGCGGCTTCACAGCTGCGCGCGCGCTCTCCGGCACCGAGTCGAGCTCGGAGTGCTCGAGCACAAACAGCACGAAGAGGCCGACGGCGTGCTCGATCACGAGGACGAGCAGGAGGATGGCGAGGCCGGCCTGGAAGGAGAGGTGGAGGGCGATGCACGAGTCGGACTCCGTCATCAGCGTCTCCTGCGGAAAGTAGGTGCGCAGCATCGGGTTGAGGTCCGAGCAGCCGCGCTCCGTCGCCAAGTCGTGGATGAACTTGTCCTTGAAGATCGCCGCCGCAAACAGGATGACGCAAAACACGTCGACGCCGCACCACGCGTAAGCGAGCCGCATGGCGAGCCCAACGGCGCGGCGCGCCCTGCCGCTCATCGGCAGGGACCAGAGGCAGAATGCGAGGAGCTGGATGAGGACGGGCGCGGCGAAGACCGAGAGGCAGAAGGAGGCGAGGACGACGGGCGAGACCGGCCCGTTGTGCGCCTGCGCCCGCGCCAGCGCGCGCGCGAGTCCCCAGAGCGAGAAGGTGCGGTCGCGCGTCTCGTCGAGCAGCACGCGCGGGAAGCCCGCGATCTGCACGGTGAGCAGCGGCGCAAAGCAGCCCGCGAGGAGCCCTCCGAGGCAGAGGAGGATACTGGCGGCGACCAGGCGCTGCAGCCGGGGCGAGAGCGTGACCGAGCGTCCGAGGAGCCAGGAGCGGTACGGCAGGGTGCAGAGCGCTCGGCGCTGCGGCTGCACGCGAGGCCGCAGCCTCTGCGACGCGGCGCGCGTCAGCGACGCCGGCGAGAGAGTCGGCGAGAGCGTGGGCGAGCTGCAGGCGGGCGAGCTGCAGGTGGGCGCACGGGCGTGCTGCGCCTGGACATAGGTCACGGGTGTGCTGCGCTCCGCCGGTGCCTCCGCCGGGGCGGCGGCGGGCTCGAGCAGCTCCGGCGGGGGCGGTGCGAGCTCGGCGACGGTGTGGCGGAGTTCGCTCGAGGAGGCGGCGTCCGCCTGCAGCTGCCGCTCGTGCTGGTGGTGGTGGACGACCATCACGATCTGCGAGAGGAGCACCGCGAGCGCCAGGAAGCCCATCTGCATCGTCTGCCACTTTGTGTCCACGTGCGTCTGGACGGCGAAGAGGGGCGGCGCCCCCCCCGCCTCGTCGCCGGCGCGCATGTCAAACGAGGTGAATATGACGAGCAGCGTGAGCATGTCGACGTGCACGCGGCCCCACTTGGCCAACGAGTTGCAGGCCTCGAGCATGGCGCGCCGCCAGCGCGGCTGGAGCGTGCTCGGCGGCGCGTGGAGGAGGAGGAGCGCGAGGCAGAGCTTGGCGTAGGGCCACATGCCCGCGGTCACGAAGATGGCGACCGCGTAGTACCACTGCCCGTCGGCCCAGAACTTGGCGCAGTAGCCGGGGATGGAGAGGAGCTGGTAGAGGGAGAACTCTGGCACCGGGTCGCCCGCCAGGGTGAGGGACACGAGCAGGCTCGGCCACGGCTTGGAGCGGCTCCATCCGAGCAGCGCCATCGTCGTCGCCATGGCCACCGACAGAGCAAAGGCCGCGGGGCGGGGCAGGTGGCGCGCGAGGGAGACGCGGAGCGAGTCGCGCGACTCGCGGCTCTCGCGGCCGGCCCGCTGCCACTGCTGCCACGAGGCGACGAGCGCGGCGACGCAGAGCGCGACGCCGATGCCGGTGAAGATCAGGTCGGCAGACTCCCATCGGCCGACCTGCGAGCTCTGCGCGGCCGCGGCCGGCGGCGCGTGCTGGCGCGAGCGGTAAAAGTCGAGCGCGGCGGCCGCCTGGATAGCTCTCGCACTGGGCGGCGCGGCGGCGGCGGCGAGGCTGGCTGCCTCCTTCGCCTCGACCGAGCCACTCCCGCTCGCGGCGCACGCGGCGTGCGCGCGCGGCAGTCCGTACAGCACCTGCTCGTTGGCGACCCGCGCGAGGACGGAGGAGAGGGAGCGGAGTGCGGCGAGCGCAGGGTCGCCGCGGACGGCCGCGGGGGCGGCGGCCCCTTCGGCCTCGAACTCGACGCTGAAGAAGTCGGCGTCAAAGCTGCACGCCTCGCGCACCAGCGCCAGCCCGGCGATCGGGACGGTGGCGCATGGCGTGAGTAGCTCGCCGAGCTCGAGAAAGGGGAGCAAGTTGCGCCACACGTCCACCAGGCCCCGCAGCTCCAGCTGCGCGGCTCGCACCTCGACGCCCGCCTCGAAGCGGCGCGTCTCGCCGAGCAGCTCGACGCCGACCCCGACGCTCGCGCGCAGGGGCGTGCCGCCGCTGCCAAAGCCGATGCTGCTGTCGAGGGCGGCGGCCGACACGTTCGCGGGCCGCAGCAGCCGCAGCTGCGAGAGGGAGTCGAGCCCGCTCACCGCCGCGTCGTGCAGCGTGACGCGCACCTGCGTGGCACACGGGTGCGAGAGGGCTCGGGGAGCGGCTCCTGGAGGGCTCGCCGCCGCGCGCGGTGCAGCAGCGTGGCACGCGCACCTCGCCCAGCCCGAGGTGGGAGAGGCGGAGCAGGTCGGAAGAGACGGCGAGCAGCGGCCCGGGCGCACGCAGCGCGGCGACGCCGAGCGTGTGGATGGCGCGGGCGGCGCGAGGCGCGTCGAGCCACTCGAGCGCGCGGCCGAGCAGCGCGGACACGTCCGCACTCTCCGGCGGCGAGCGCCAGTCGGCGCGGCGCGGCTCTGGCGGCGGCGCCTCGCAGCTGTCGTCGAGTGCGCCGCCGCGCGTGCCGGGGTAGGTGAGGAGGGCGGAGGTGAAGTTGTTGATGGCCGAGACGAGCGGCGCGCGCACCAAGCCCGAGACGACGCCCTCGATGATCGAGTCGTACGTCGAGAGCCCCGCCTGCCGGGACGTGTGGTGTGCGTGTGGTGTGCGTGTGGTGGGCGTGTGGTGTGCGTGTGGTGGGCGTGTGGTGGGGCGTGTGGTGGGCGTGTGGTGGGCGTGTGGTGTGCGTGTGGTGGGCGTGTGGTGGGCGTGTGGTGTGCGTGTGGTGTGCGTGTGGTGTGCGTGTGGTGTGCGTGTGGTGTGCGTGTGGTGTGCGTGTGGTGTGCGTGTGGTGGGCGTGTGGTGGGCGTGTGGTGGGCGTGTCGTGGAGAGGTCGGGTCGTACGTGCGACGTCTCGAGTGGCTCAGCAACTCTCGACAGCTCTCGGCTGATCTCGACAGCTCTCGGCTCGCCCGCGCGGCGTCGGTGATGAGCCCGGTAATGCCGTTGACCAGCGCGTCGCCGTGAGCGCAGCGGCACGGCGTGACTGCGATGGAGGAGCGGGCGGCGCTAAAGGAGAACTGGAGCCGGCGCATCCCGGCGGCGAGAAGCGCTTTCGAGAGGCAGCGCGGTTGGGTGAGCTGCCAGAGCTGGGTGCTCGCGAGGCGCGTCGCGTTGAGGCCGAGCAGCAGCGCGCCTGCGGGAGGGCTCGGAGACGGTTCGGGGAAGGTTCCAGAGTGGCGCGTCGAGGCGCAGCAGCGGCGGACCGGAGGCGCCGACGTCGGCAAGGGATAGCTCGAAGCTGGTCGCGATCTCGAGGGGCCGGCCGCTCGGGTGCGAGAAGACACCGCTCTCCCCGACGTACAGCCGGAAGGTGACGCTCGCCTGGAGGGGGAGGGGAGGGGAGGGGGAGGGGGAGGGAGGGAAGGGGAGGGAAGGGACGCTAGGACGCGAGTCGACGGCGTGACGACCACCGCTAACTGTCGGCGACGTGCAAGGCGGAGGGCGGCCGCTCGCCTCGACCGCAAAGTCGCTCAGGCCGACCTCCCACGCGAGCGAGTGCGCGTCCTCCTCGCCGTCGAGCGCCTCCGCCAGCTGGAGCCGCTCGAAGCTGTCGAGCCCGTGGATGGACCAGCCGGTCGCCTCGACGGACAGGTTGAAGAGCCCGCCTGGTCACGGCGGGAGGGGTGTGAAGAGAGGGGTGTGAAGAGAGGGGTGTGAAGAGAGGCCTGCCCCGGAGTGGCGGCGACGGGAGGGAGACGAGCTCGCCTGCCGCCGTCACAAACTGCTCGTGGCCGAGGGTCGCCGGAAGGTGCCTCGCCCCGCTGAGGGTCCCGTTCTCGCCGCCGATCAGCCTCGCGAGCCGGTTGATGCCTGCAGTGGCGCGGGGCGGAGCTGGGCGAGAGCGCGTGCCGGCGTGCGGCAGCGATAACCGGCACGGGCCGCCGAGATCTCGATCTCGGCGAGATCTCGATCTCGGCTAGATCTCGCGCCGAGCGCGGGCCGCTCCTCGCCGTCGTCGTCAGCCCCGTCGGCGATGATTTTGAAGGTGCGGCCGAGGGGCGGGAAGGGGAGGGAGGTGCCATTGACTCCTCCGAGGGCGGTGTTGAGGGCGGTGGCGCCCGCCTCGAGCCATGCGGACTCGCGCCTAGGGGCAGCGGTCCCGAGAGGGCTCCGAGGCGGCGCCTCGGCAGGGCGCGCCTCCTAAGCAAGGGAGGAGTCGCGCCAGCGGAGGGCCTCGGGCGGGAGGGGCGGCTCCGGCCGCGACAGCTTCCCGTCGGCGGCGGCGAGCGCGGCGAGGAAGGCGTGCACCTGCGCCACCTGCGCAGGGAGCACCTGCAGGAAGGTTCCGAGAAGCTTCACGGAAGGCTCGGCTGCACCTCCGCCGCCATTCGCGGCGCCTGCTCTGCGAAGGCGGCGCGCAGCGAGGACGAAAGCATCGACGAGAGGAGACCGGAGTAGTCGAGGCGCTCGGCGGCCCCCCAGCCGAGCATCACCGCGGAGAGGGCAGTGTTTGCGAGAAGGTCGGCGCCTGAGAACGCACACAACGCCGCGTGTGTAATGCCCCGTGTGTTCCGCGAGTGCGCGTGCCCCGTCGTCCGTGCCAGGACGTGCGACGTGTGTGCCGCGTGTGTACCACTGACTGACTGACTCGGGCGCCTGGAAGCGGCAGGCCGACGCCGTGCAGGCTCACGGAGAGGTGCTCGGGTCGCAGGTCGAGCTGCGTGTCAATGAGGTCGAGATCCGGCAGCCGCTCCTCGCCGACCGTGAAGAGGCGCAGCCGCGTCGCCACAGAGGCGTCGCTCAGCGTGAAGGTGACGCCGGTGGGCCAGTTGCGGGCAGAGTACAGGTCGAGGTACAGCTTCTCGCCGAGCTGGAGAGGGACCAGCATCGAGCCGGACCTCGCGGGCGGCGCCTGCTCGACGAGCACGCGGGAAACCTCGCACTCCACGCCAAAGTGGTCCACTGCGACGTACAGCTCGCTCGACGCCTCGGCTTCGCTCGACAGATGGCCATCAAGGAACTCGGACCTCACCGCCTCGATGTGTGATTTGCTGCACACAGCGCCGGAGATGGTGACGTAGAGCGGGTGCCCGCCGCGAGGATCACGCTCCGGGGACGTGACGACGACTGTGGTGTCCGGCCAGCTGATGGTGAGTCCAGAGAGCCAGTGTCGCAGACTGTGGTGTCCGGCCGCCTCGTCGCTACCGCTACCGTCGCGCGGCCCAGCCTGGCCGGAAGCTGCCAATGCAGCCAGAAGAAGCATGCTCGCGCTGCCTCGGCTGACACTGCAGGCCTCTACCAAATTGCCTCGGCTAAGTCGCTGAGGAGCAAGAGACGATCAGCCGGGCAGGGCCTTGGTGTCGGACGGCAACGTCGAATTCTTTTTTCCTAGGAAATGCATGAAAATTCCCCTTTCCCGTAAAGCACGTAAGCTATCGCATAGGCGTTCACAGCGCGTAAAAAAACAATGGTCACGCAACGTCGAGAGACTAGAGAGGTGCCCACCGCGCCGCTCTCCTCTAGCAAGCTCTCCTCTACCGGACGAGCTCGCCGGACCCGCAGAGTCAGCCGGGTGTGCTTGACGTGTTCGATGGCGAGCCTCGCCGAGAGCATGGCGCTTCCCGCGGCGGCGGGCGGCCTCGCGGTCCTATTCTCCCACCCGCTCGAGCTCACAAAGGTGCGGCTTCAGCTCGACAACGAGCTCGCGGCGAAAGGCACTCCGCGTCAGTACGCCGGCTTCGTCGACTGCGTGCTCCAAAACTTCCGCGCGGCTGGCGTGCGAGGGCTGCAGCGCGGCCTCTCGCTGGGCGTGACGCGCGAGGTCTGCTTCAACGCCGTCCGGATCGGGCTGTACGACCCGATCCTATCTGCCTCCGGCGCGGTGTCTGGCCGCGGCGAGCGGGCGCCTTCGGCGCGCGAGCGGATGGCAGCCGGCTTCACGTGCGGCGCGCTCGGCGGCTGCTGCGTCAACCCGATTGAGGTGCTGAAGGTGCGAATGCAGGCGTACGGCGGGCTCACCGGCCACCAACACGCCATCCCGAGCCCCGCGGCCGGCCTCGCCGCCCTCGTGCGCGAGGAGGGCCTCGCCGGCTGCCTCCGCGGCGTCGGCACCTCCACCGCCCGCGGAGTCCTTGGGCCCGGCTCGCAGCTGATCGCGTACAACGAGCTCAAGGCGGTGGCGGTGGGGCACGGCGCCGACCCCGCCGCCGCGCCGACGCACGTCAGCTGCGCGCTCGCCTCGGCCGCCGTCTCGGTCGCGTGCGTGAACCCGGTCGACGTGGTGCGGACGCGGGTGTACAATGCGCCCGCTGGCCTGTACGCGTCCGGGGCCGACGCCGCGCGGCGGCTCCTGCGCACCGAGGGCCCGCTCGCGCTGTACAAGGGCTCGCTCACCCACTACCTGCGGCTCGGGCCGCACATGGTTTTAGTCTTCGGTATCCTGGAGAGGCTCAAGTCGATGCGGGCACGCTCGTCGTGAGAGCATGTGCATGTTTTGGGTATGTTGCATGTTTGCAAGTGCACCACGAGCGAGCCGGTGCCGGCCGGTGCCTTTTTTTTCAACCCTTTTCCTGGCTCACAAGCTGGAAGAGGAAGAGTAAAAATCTCAATAAACAAGCTGAAGATGTTCACGGGCCCCCACACGGAGGGCGCTTGCGGAAAACTCGGCGCAGTCTCGGCCGGCGCGCGCTCCTGTGCGGCCACCTAAATTCCCGAGTCGCTGCACCCCGCCAGAGCACCCACCCACCTCGCCGCCACAAGCAGGAGCGGCGGTAGAAGTCGAAACGTGCGCCGCACGGCCGCCTCGCTTGAACGGCCGCTTCCGCAGAGTCGACCGATAGCCGCCGCGCTCCACACCCGGCCACAGCCTGACCACCCCGCGCGGACACAGGGCGCACTTCAGCCCTGCTGGACTGCCCGGCCGCTCACACACCGCCTCGGCCGCCCACACCAACGCACAGACCCGCCTCGGTAGGCGTGCTGCTGGGGGCAGGCCCGAGACGGCTGGACAGGAGCCGAGTGCAGTGGCGATCCAGAGGCTACCTGGATCGTCAAGAGGTGCTCCATGACTACTCTGAGCAGGGCTGTGCTTTGGTGGGGCTGTTCTTGATCATGTGTGAAGTAGGAGTCCGTTGCCGGCGCTGCCTGAGGGTAAAACAGGCGTGAAATAGCCTCGTGTGGGGTGTTATGAGCCGGTGTGAGCTTGGAGACCCGAGATAAGCGCGGCTCGGGACAGCTCGGGCTTGGTACTGATGGGCCTGGGCCAGGAGAGCGGCAGGGAAGGCGAGGTGGTGAGCTGACAGGCTGGGAAGTCGGCACGTGTGCGTGTCGCGGTGAGCTGCCAAAAAGTGTTGTTTGCGGCTATTGCTCCAAACTTCGGGAGAGACGGCCTACATGTTATGACTGCACCCATGCGCCTGGTGCATGAGGGCTGCGGGACGGGACATTTCACAGTCGATGGCGCCGATAATGACCTCCGGAAAGCCCTCGCAATCGCCTCGGATTGGGTCCACCGGGGACAATCTCGGGTCCTCTCCGTGGCATCACGAGCTGGTGTGAGATTGGGGACCCGATATAAGTGCAGTTTGGGACAGCTCGGGCCTGCTAGTGATGAGCCTGGGCCACGAGAGCGGCAGGGAGTGGGGAGCCCCGGGTACTCTTTAGCTGTACTCGTCTAGGCAGGGGTTGCTTTTTTTTTGAGAGCGCCTTCGTTGTTTATACAATGGAGTGCGGTCATTAACCTCACATCCAGGGCCGGGCCGCGGGCGCCGGGGGCTAATAAGCGCTGTTATTAGCCTCATAATTAGCTTGTTATTAGCTACTCGCGCTATTAACTATGTTGATAATTAGGTACGTTATTAGGCTAATAGTTTGATAGTGTATCGTTGCTCAGGTCCACTCTCTCTTCGAACACTTGTACCTCCACCGATGATGTTGGCGCTGGGGTCCCCTTCGGGTGCATCGTTACAGCTGACGACGGGATTACCACTGGTGTTTCGTCTTCCTCGGAGTCTTCTTCCCCGGCTTCCCCCCGTTCGGCTCTACGTTCAGCGTGGCTCACCCTCCATGCCGTGAACAGGCGCTTTATCCATCCTATATTCTTCTCTCGTTCCTCTGCCCGTGCCTTGGTCTTGTTCTCTCGAGGTTCTCGAGGTGGATCTCCTTTGGCCGCGTTGGGTAGCGAGGATTGGTGTGACGCGATCCACGCAGGCGTGTTTTCTGGCGGCCGACCGTCAGTGCACGGAGTTGCCCCTTCTCCGACTGCCCCGGCTAGTTCCCGAGGTCGTCGGGTGTGACCCCTGCGTCCCCCGAGACCTAGCGCGGGTGGGTTGGAGGGGGCTTGCTGCAGGGAAGGGCGGTGTAAGAGGCCGATTCCCGCAGTCCGCCCCGTTCCTCCCCATCGGGCCGCTTGAGCGGCCGCGCCTCGCAGATTCGTTTTCGCGCCTGGGTCAGGCGCGCGGGGCATCCCCCGGGTCGCTCGACCAGCGATCCGAAGAGTGGCCGCTATGCGAGGGAAAGAGCGGGGCCCTCGACGCCTCTGTCCGGCCCTCCGAGGGGGGGAAGGGAATTGCGGGGTCCCCACGGGCGCCTCAGTTCGGCCCTCCCGGGGGGGGGGAGGGGAGCAAGGGGGTGAGGGGGTCGGGGCGGTGGGGAGGGGTCTCGGTTTCGTGGGACTAATACTTGCCTTTCGGGGAGGGGCCTCCGTTCAAGCGCTCATCACAGGAGTGAGAGCTGCCTTGACGTCTTCCCCTCCTCCCTCGTTGCAGCGAGTAGGCAGCGAGTGGAGGTCTCGAGCGCCTATATGAAGGTATTGAGATGGTGATGGGAATGGGTGGTCGGTCGGTCGGTCGGTCGGGCGGGCGGGCGGGCGGGCGGGCAAGCGGGGAGAGGCGAGGAGAGGCGGGCGGGCGGGGCGGGGCGGGCGGGCGGGGTGATCGGAGGTATTGTATCCACAATCAGCAGCAGCAGAGCAGCAGCAGCCGCAGCAGCTGCTGCAGCAGCAAGCAGCAGCCTGCCGCAGATTGCTGCCGTTGTCAGCGCCGCGATCCGCCGCCGCGCCGCCGCGCCGCCGCCGCCTGCGCTCGCCGCCGCCTCGTAGACGACTCCTCTCGCGCTCGGAGAGCCGCGCAGCGGGCCGCGGGTTGAGGTCAAAGTGTGCAGCAGGATGTCGAGGTCATGAAACACCAGATTTTCAACTTGCCCGAGACGGCCCGGAAATGGTCCCGCGCTGTAGCCCCGGTGTGCTGGCGCATCACACCTCAGCCTCGAGGGGCTGGTTCCGCCGCGCAGTCGAGCAGCAGGAGCTCGGGCACAACTTTGTCGACAAACAGGTTGAGCAAAATTTCGGCGAAGAAGCGGCACCGGCGGCACGCCGGGATGAACCCGGACCGATCCCATTGTTCAGATCCGCGGCGGCGAGCCGCCGCGAGCCCACAGGAGAGCTGGGAGCCGCGGCACTAGACCGCGCCGCCAGCGAGGCGAGAGCAGCAGCCGACGACCAGCCGACATGGCAGTTGCAACGGCGGGATTCCGTGGGTCTTGTCGTTGTTTCGCACCCATGTCTGTATGGCGATCGAGGCTGCCTTCCCCACCACCTGTAGTTCACTCGTCACCTCTCCTGCGAGCTGCCCTCTCTTTCTTTCGGGTATGGAGTCCGTGAGTGCGGGCAGCGTGCAGGCAATCACGGGCGCTATTTTGTCGTACTCCCCTTCGGCGAGCAAACCCAAATCTAGACCCCATTGCCTTTAAGGAGGCTGCCCTCGCGCGTCTCAGGAATGCGGCTGTGTCTTTTGAGTCAGGCGCCGCCCGATCGACTCTTGCTAGGTAGGTAGGTAGTAAGGTGAAGAACAGCCAGGCTCGGACTGGACACCAACGCGGTATGGGTGGACGCTAGACAGATGATGACGACACGCACGAGCGACACACAGACACAAACAAGCTCACAAGACACACAGCCAGCTGGCTGCCACACACCCTGAGTCGGCGTACACATAACTCGGGGCCACATCCTCCCTGTCGCCCCCCCCAGCACTCCACGGTGCCAAGGGCACAAACAAGGGCACAACTCAAACAACAGACGACAGGAAGTGATATGTGAGGCTAGAGCAGCTTGCTCCACCTCTAGCAATCTCACCGGCCTGCGAGGCACGGACGAGACCGTATGTGGGGTCTAGTGAGGTGTCTATGGACGCGCTCCTCATGGGCTAGCTGCCTGCGGCTAGCCCTTCTCGCACTCACAGGCGATGACAATCCAATGTATGAGTGTATGCAAGCTGAGGCGCGTGTGCTAAATCTAGGCCGCACGTCGTGGCACTATGACGGAGGTAGACGTGCGGCCGCAGCGCGCCCACCACAGTTTCGGTGGGGCGCGCGTGTTAGCAAGAGAGTTGCGGGGAGAGCCATGCCCGACTTTTCGGAGGCGAGCCCCACGCCACGGATGCCAGCCGTGCTTTCGCGGGGGTCGTCTCCCAAGCCGCGTCCCGTCAGCACTGTCCCCGAGTGGTCCCGCCTCGGCGGCACACACTCTCGACCAGGACAGTCCCGCCAACGGAAACGTGTCGCGCGCCGGCGACGATTGCGGCGTGGTCGTTGTGAAGCGGAGATGGCACGACCACCGCCCTGCTTCGCAGACCGGGCAAGGAGGGGCTTGCTCCCGTTCCGCGAGGAACGGGAGGTCTCCCGCCCTCCCCCGGCCTGAGCAGCGACGCGTGGAAGGCAGCCCCTTGAGTCGAGGGCGGCGCGGCCATTGCCGAGCTCCAGCAGCCAAAGGCCTGGGCGTCTGCTGATGGTCGCGCCGCCCCGCTCCGCGTCGCCCGCCGCCGCGCCGCCCCGCCGCGCCGCCCGCCGCCGCGCCGCGCCGCCGCTCGATGATTAAGAATTAATAATTATTATCCTGATCACTAACTAATAATAAGTAATTACACCACCCAGCTGGACTCTCATTACCCTCGACTGAATACTTCCCCCCAACGGAATTCTGGGATACATACTATGAATAATTAATCATTAACACACAAGTAATTTACACCAGCCACTTCCACTACACTTTATCAGGAGCTCAGCGCTGATCGCGCTGCACCTATTTCGGAGTGAGGGCCGTGGCCCAAAGTCTTGCTGTCGCCCTCCCGCCACGCAAAGGTTTCTTTTGCGTGTGTGGCCTCCGCCGCTCCTCCTCTGGCGAGTACAGACCACGCCTGCTATTCACAGCACAAGCCCTCGCCGGAAGGCTCGAGCATGCGCAGCGAAAAGCAGGCGTGCGGCATGCGGAGCTCCCCACCGGCGGCGGGCTTGAAGACACTGAGCCGAGCGCGCCGGCGGCGGACCGCCGCCGGCGCGCTCGCTTCGGCGGATGGCTGAGCGGCACAGTTTCTGGCCGCCCGGCCTGCGAGCAGTCGCCGCGAGACGATCGAGGCGCAGTTCAAGCGCGCCGCCATGCCAGATCTCGCCCCACGCCCCGGCCAGACCGGGCAGTGCGTGCAGGAATGATGCAGGCATGATGGGTGGGTGTGGTGAGCACGCCAGCGGCACCGCTGCGCACTCTCAGGGTCGCAGCCGCCTATCTCGTGAGGGGCGTGGCTCGGGGCGGGTGCGAGAGAGTCGAGGAGCGCGGCGCGCGTGCGCGCGCGTGGTAAAGTCGGTTTATATTTCATCACTGGTATAAAAGAGACCCAAAACGGCACTCGCGCCGCGCCCACGCGCGCTCGTATCACCTCAACACTCACACAGCACGCTTGAACGAAGCCCCCGAGGGGCGAGCCGGACCGGCTGTGGAGCTACTTGGAGGAGACGGTTCTCTTCGCAGATCCATGAGGAGCTGTGAGGAGGCACATTTCCGCCTGGTTTCGGCGGCAGAGTGTGATAGACTCACGTGGAACCGCCGGCGGGGCGAGAGCCAGCAGCGGGCAAACCGCGCCTCCGGTGCTCCGCTGCGATGACGAGCTGGCGCCAGCCACGCGCGGCCTGGCCAGGTCGGCAGGCGAGCAGCAGGCATGCCGAGCGCGTGCGCGCGCGGCTGTCTCGTTGAGGCGGCAGAGCAGGCCGCATGTTGAGCAAAGAGGGCTCCAACACCCATCCTCGCCGAAAGACGGCGATCCAACCCTCCGCTTGTCACACGCCTCCTTTTTCCAGACGGATCTCCCCCTGTGAAAAAGTGAGGCGTGGTCTGTACTCGCCAGGCTCCTCCTGCCGCGATGCCTGCGCTCGTGTGCCTCGCGACATGCATCTGCTCGCTAGTGCTTCCGATCCACCACAGAGCTGTGGCTGCGGTCCTAACCTCAGATCTGACCGTCACCGTCACCGCCACCGCTGCCGTCATGCCGCGACCAGCACGCTCAGCCACGCCCTGCTGCAGTGCGGTGTCGGCCAGCTCGCTGAGCGCGCCACTTCGCGTGCTGGCGTGGCTTCGCGCGCTATTCCTCCGCCTCTTCCAGTGGCTGCGCCTCGCGCCCGCGGCCGCCCGGTTTCCCACCGCGCCGCAGCGGCAGCTCCGCGTGGTTGTCGGGAGCGCGACCCGCGAGGTGGCCCCTCCGCATGACGTGTACGTCCGGTACGGCTACCTGCTCTCGCCCTTCTACGCCGCGCAGCCCAGTCCGCCCACGGGCAATGGCTCCACCGGCGCCGCCGCCCCGGTGCGTTGGCTGTCCGCTCTCCCGCAGGCGGCGCCGCACCCTTCTGCGGCCGCGTTTGACCGGGCGCGGTTTGAGGCGCTGTGCGAGATGCTGCAGGCGCGCAGAGCGCGAGGTCCGTGGGTGGGGCTCACACCATGCGCTCACGCACGGCCCCCGCCCTTGTCTGTAGGCGGAGAGGGCAGAGGCAGATGCCTCTGGCGCCAGCCGTGGCTTCTCTTGGCCGTGGGAGAGCTGACCCGAGGTGCCGGGGCGGGATGACCCGGTCGGCTTGCGGTGCACCCATGCGTCAGTGTCACACAGTCCGCACTCGACGCCGCACGCACCTGGCCGCGGCCTTCGCCGCTTCGGGCGGTGCGGCGCAGACATATCTCCAAGCATGCTGGAAGCTGACGTAGCATGCGGCTGACTGCTCTCAGCTGGTTTGTGAGGGTTTGTGTTAAATTGCATAAATTACGTGCATGCTCGCATTGCGTGCTGCCCTCTCCGGTTCTGGTTCATTCACTCACGCACGCTGAGGAAAACAACGAAAATTCATTCGTCAGAGTTCACACGGACGACGGAGCACACAAGAGGCACCGGTACTGTCATAAGAGGGAAAGTGAGCTAAGTGGAAAGTGCACCTCGCCGCACGCCGCGCCCCTCGCAGGAGTCGCTTAGGCGGCTCCCGTGGTGTACCTGTGTTAGTGCAGGTGCGCGCCAGCCGAATGTACCTGTGTTAGTTTTGTTGGGCCCCAGCCGAATGTACAAAGATTTTGGTACCCGTAGTACCGTAATCATTTTCATTAAATGATTTAATCAATAGGCCGCGCACACTACGCCGCGGTGCGTCACGACCTCACGTTTTTCTGGCCATTCCGCGATCTAGTCCGCGATCTCGGTACCTAGCCAAAGGGTGGGCGCGCCCGGCCTCTTTTCTGATAGACAGAGAGTCGCCGCAATGTCTCTCGAGCTCCTACACGCTCTAATTCTTGCATCTTTGCAATGAGGCCTGGATCAGCCATGCACCCGATATTTGACCAGCGACGAGTTGAGACATCTTCGCATGTTGGGTCAATGCGCGCCACATCGCCATCATTTCACCGACCCCAGGCACCAGCACGAATACGCGAAGTTTGCCAAGAAAGCAATCAGCGGCTCTAGGCGAATGCAGGCGTTATTTGGCTGTCGGAAGCACCACAACCCTCCGTACTCAAAGGTCACAATTTTGAGCGAGTGAGTACGCAGTGCATTCTCCGCACCGCGCAAGACAGCATGGTCGTGTCCTTCCAGTGTCGATTAAGCACAAATCGACCACTTGAAGACCTTGAGATGCAAGAAGCTGTGGTCAACGGTTGTCGTAGGCACGAGTGAATTATTGGTCTGCCTCTGCTTCAGGCTTCTCTTCCACCGGGCGTGCAATCTCCATGCCGATCTCGTTCATAATTGGCACAAAGGAAGTCGCTCACGCGGACCCCCGCGGAGGGACCAGTTGCCACGGCATGCAACACACGAACGTCACGGGCATGCAGGGCATGCTCCTCGAAGACTTTGCCCAGAAGTTCGGCATTTTTTGGTTCTGCCTCCACCGCAAGAACAGTGCCCATCTTCACGGGCATGCACCACACAGTTGTCCCGTGGTATTATGTCGCATAAATGATCGCGCCCACTGATGGCCGCTGACACTCCAACTCGCATCGAAGCGTTCGATAAAGCTGCGGACATCGTAGCCTTTATTGGCACCAACGTTCAAAAAAGAGGGTGAAGCACTGACTCAAGCAACCTTGGTGATAGCACATCGAGCCAGAGGGAAGATGGGCAGTTTGAGAAGAGGCCAACTGAATGGTTTGTGCAGCTCGAGGCACAGTCGAAGTTCCAGTAGCAAACCGGGACGAACGGGCACAACACCAGCACAACACTTCTTGTCGGCTCCGTTGCGATCAAGGCGTCTGGCCGTGACAGATGAGTTGCGATCAAGGCGTCTGGCCGTGACAGATGAGACGAAGTAAAACGAGACAGCAAATCGCGAGCGGGTCGATGAAAAGCAGCTCATCTTGCGCCAAGTTGCACACATGGAGGCGGAGGTGTGGCGGGATTTGGGCTCGTCCTGCCTGCCTTCCTAAGCGCATGCCCCCCCACCCCCCCCACCCATCCCCTCCCCACCTGTTCCCTCCATCCCTGCCTCTACGTGCGTGTGCTCCACGTAGCACCAGCGCGCACCTAGGGGGCAGCGCGCACGTCGGACGCGGGGCTTCGGTTTAGACGGTTTACACAATATAGATGTGCAAAATTCTGATCAGAAACAGTCTTTTGTACGCCATCACTGTAGTGAGCGTTGGGTTGTCTGTTTTCTTTCTTTCTTTTTAGCGTCGGGCTGGTGGTTGAGCACTTGAGCACCGGATAGGGTCGATTCCGCGTGGTACGGGACCCCTCGATCGTCTCACCCTCCCTGCTCCCTCACTGGAGTGTTCATTGGCGATTGGGGGGGTCATACACAACAAACGGCTGGTGGTTCGACACCGAGTTTGAAAGGTCTGTTTCTTACGTTTCTCTTCACATCCCGAAGGTGTCCCATCCCAAATTCGTGCCGTCGACAGACCAGATTCGTGGTCCCTTGGTCGACTACACCCGCCTTTGGAGAATAGCACAGCCACTCGAGCCACTGCACGACGCAACGCTCGCCCTCTGGCTGCGCCGGCAGCTCGAAGCCGCGCCCACAAGCGGATGTCCAGCTGTGTCCTCTGCGAGCGAGGCGTGGAAGAGCAGCGAGACGGCCGCGACGCGATGTCGGCGGGGCTGTGGCAGCGAGAGACGACGCGCAGGAGGAGGTCCGTGGGGAGGTCGAGGAGGCGGGTGGGCGGTGGCGCGTCTGGAGAGGGGGCGGCGGAGGCGGCGGAGGAGGCGAGGCGGCGCGAGCGGGGGCACGGCCTGGGCACGGCAGGGGTGGACTCTGGACATGGGGGGGAAGTGTCGGAAGTACCCGCCCAGCGAGAAAAAAGAATTTTTTGGCCAATGTGCCACAGCCAACACAAAAAGTTGAAAAAGGGAAAAGGAAGCTTGATCTTGAAGAGATCTGGCGCGTTTAGGCGCGTGTGTGCCACCGTGTGCGTGTGTGCTGCGCGGGCGCTCTCGGTTCTCAAGTATTACGCCTCGAGGGCCTGCAGCGTCTCGACGGTGTGGCAGGCGGCGACGAGCTTTCCCCCGGTGACGACGAGGGCAGCCACCTGGTGAGTTTGAGTGAGGGTGAGGGAAGGGCGGCCGCGTCTCGGGTTGAGGGGTACGGGTCTGGGCTAGGGCAAGGGTTGCGGGCCTCGACTCGGTTGAGCGAGTACGGGTCCGCCTCCTTGTCGCAGTGGTCCCCCCTGCCGCGGTACCCGAGCAGCACCTGGGGAGGGGGCGGAGGGAGGAGCCAGGGAGGAGCCAGGGAGGTGTGCGGGGGCGGGGGAGGGTGTGGGAAGGGAGGTGTGCCGGGAGGCGGGCGGGGGGTGCTACGAGTTGCTGGAGGTGGCGCCTGCAGTGCGGCGGCGAACCCAGCCACCGTCACCTTGCCGTGCAGCCGGCAGAGGTTGCACTGGACGCAGTTCATCACCCCGAGCAAGTCGCGCGTGCGCAGCCGGATCTTCCACGGCGCGGCCTCCTCCGAGTCTGCGTGCTCGCGCAGCAGCGCCGCGGCGCGAGAGAGAGACGGCTCGGCGAGGGCGGGAGAGTTGAGGATCTGCTCCATCGGCGGCCAGACCTGACCGAGGGACTCACGCAAGCGTGTGCACCCGCTTGTCACGTGAGAGGGTGCCGAGTCCGCTCCATCGCCAGACCTGCCGCACGTCCCCGAGGTAGGTGCAGCGGCCGAGATATGGGGAGATCTGGGGAGATCTGGGGAGATATAGACCTGCCGCACGTCCCCGAGGTAGGTGCAGCGGCCGAGATATGGGGAGATCTGGGGAGATCTGGGGAGATATAGACCTGCCGCACGTCCCCGAGGTAGGTGCAGCGGCCGAGATATGGGGAGATCTGGGGAGATCTGGGGAGATATAGACCTGCCGCACGTCCCCGAGGTAGGTGCAGCGGCCGAGATATGGGGAGATCTGGGGAGATCTGGGGAGATATAGACCTGCCGCACGTCCCCGAGGTAGGTGCAGCGGCCGAGATATGGGGAGATCTGGGGAGATCTGGGGAGATATAGACCTGCCGCACGTCCCCGAGGTAGGTGCAGCGGCCGAGATATGGGGAGATCTGGGGAGATCTGGGGAGATATAGACCTGCCGCACGTCCCCGAGGTAGGTGCAGCGGCCGAGCCGCGGGGCGACCTGGCGGACGGACGTGGCTGTGTGCGTGAGACGCCGCTGCATCGGGTGGAGCAAGCCCGCCGCGCGGACACGCCCTCTGGAGAGGCGGGGAGAGATGGGGAGAGATGGGGAGAGATCGGGGACACACCCTCTGGAGAGGTGGGGAGAGATGGGGAGAGATGCCGAGAGATCGGGGACACACCCTCTGGAGAGGTGGGGAGAGATGGGGAGAGATGCCGAGAGATCGGGGACACACCCTCTGGATGGCGCAGAGGGTCAGCATGGTTGCAAAGTACAGGTTCGGCACCGCGCCTGCGACCAGACTCTTGCCTCACACACTCCTCTCCTCAGGCCATGAGGAGCAAACCCTCGTCGGAGAAGGGCAGGCCGGCGCCGCGCCTGGCTCGTCGCGCAGCCGGCGGCGGTACTGCAGCCTCGCCTCCTCCTCGTCGCCTATCACAACGACTCGTGGCCTCTCACTCGAGTATGCGGTGCTGCAGCCTCGCCCCTCCCCCTGCTCGCCTAGTGACAGAATCCTCCTCCTCCGGCTCACTGGAGCAGTCGCAGCCTCGTCGCCGTCGTCGTCGCCCGTGCGCAGCAGATCGCCGACGATGGAGGCGGAGACGGCGGAGTGGAGGCCTATCACGCCCCCAGCCCTCAACCCTCACAACAGGAATGCACGACGAGGGAGGCGGAGGCGGCGGAGTGGAGGCCTGACACGCCGCGGTTGAAGTCGCGCTTCCACGAGTTCTCGGGCTCCTGGTCAGCCAATCAATCAATCAAATAAGGTAAGTCCCCACGAGTCCTCGGGCTCTACGGGGTTTCGCGGGCCGGGGGGAAGCGGCTAGTCCTCTGGTGGGAGGTGTCCGGGGAGGTGTCGGGGAGGTGTCTGGGCAGGCGTCTGGGGAGGGGGCCTGCAGATCGAGCTGGAAGCAAATCTTCTGGTGGATGAAGCGCCTGGGCAGGAGGGCCGGGTCACGTCCCCTCATTCTCGTGGCGGAGAAGGCGGGGAGGCGGGCAGAGGAGGCGGGCAGAAAGGGAGGCGGGCGGGTGAGGCGGGCGGGTGAGGAGGAGGCTGGGCGCGGGGCGGAGAGAGGCTGCGGAGTGTTGCTACGCCTCTCCTCCCCTCCCTCTGGAGTTGGGTGTGCGGCACGTAAGCCGTGCCTGAGCGCCCCATCATCTCCTCTCCTCCCCCGAACTCTCCTCCCCTTCTCCTCCTCTCCTCTCCTCCCCTTCTCCTCCCTGTCTAACCCCTCCCGTCCCTCCTCCCGTCCCTCCTCCCGTCCCTCCTCCCTCCTCCTCTCTCGCGCGCCAGACTCTCGAGCCGTCGTACCCCGTGTTCCTCTCCGCGTGCTCGTGCAGGTCGTAGTACCTACACGCCAGGCAGTGCACACCCCTCCCCCAACCCTCCCCCCCCCCCGCCCTTCCCCCGCGACGGCAAGGCCCCACTCGGTAAAGTCCGAAGGCATGTCCCACCGTCCCCAGCCGTCAAGCTCGAACTCGTACCTGCGCAAACCACAGACCACGACCGGGAGGCGCATCGGAGACGCACGGAAGCCGCCGCGCTGCCCCCCCCCCCCCCCCCTTTCCCCCCTCCCTCGCTCCCCCAGCGAGGCTGGCGCAGCAGCGAGGCTGGCGCAGCTGCGAGGCTGGCGCAGTGGCGAGGCGCACTCGTTGGCGTCGCGCTCCATCATCGGCGGCGGCACGTCCTCCGTCGGCTCGATTTCGCAGGCGTCGAGCTCGCACGGCACCTCGTTCTGCGGCACGTACCCGCACGAGGCGAGCAGGTCGACCGCGAAAAAGCGGAAGAATGGCCGCTCGCGCACCGCTGCAAACTGCGGAGCCAGCGCAGCAGTGTGCTGCGACAGCGCCGCCGCGCCGGCTAGCAGCCAGTCCGAGTCGCCCGCGGCAGTGTAATCGAATTGCGGGTTCGGGAGCGACTCCCAGTTGTGCTGCTGAGGCACGTAGCCGTCCTCGACGCACGCTTCACAGTCAGCAGCAGCGGCCGCGGCCGCGGCGGCCGCGGCCGACGAGGCGTCCGGCGCCTCCGCGCAGCGGGAGAGCGCGCGGGCAGCAGGGTGGCGCGGCAGACGGCCAGCCACCCAGCCCTGCGACGCGCCGATCAAGGCGAGCATCGAGGCTAGCATCGAGCCTCCGCGAAGGCCGTCAGAAAAATTCCGCGAATTTTTTTTTCAAGTGGCGCGAACAGCTTAAGCTTTTCTCGCCCGCTCTGCTGAGGGCGAGGCGCCGAGCTTCGGTTCCAACGCTGCAGCACTCTCCCTCTATTCACAGCAGAGAGGCGACGCGTCCTCACGCGCGTCCTCGTCCCCACCTGCTCTGCTTCAACGTGCTGCCATGGAGCCAGCGCGCCTCGCGCCATGATTCAATCGCCATGGCCGGAGCGCTGTGGACCGCAACGGTCCGTGGCCGCTGTGCGGCGGCACGCGCAGGCGCTGCACAGATCAGAGCATTGGCGCCGAGCATTCAGTTTCCGCATTCAGTTGTCGTTGTTCTGTCGGCTCGAACAGCCCGTACAGCCATTCAGCGGCTGGTGGATAGCGCACAGTCTCCACGGCGGATCCGTGAATCTCGTGCACACCGGCTGGATGCGCAAAGCGCCGCCGCCGTATGGACCAGCCCGATGGACCGTGTTTGTGGTCGGGATGGACAGTCTTGGTGTGGCCGTCCAGCGTATCACTGCAGAATGAAGCAGCGACACGCAATACACAGACGAAGCTGGAACTGCCGGTCCAGCGGCCGATCTGCGTCGGGCGATCGCTGGGAATTGACCGAGCTTGCTGCTTCCGGAATGGCATCACGGATTTGCCTTCGTGGGTATGAGCATAGCAGCAAGCGGTCGCGCGATGGGACGCGCGACGCACAGCAAATACAGCAGCGAGAGCGTCTAGTGTTGACGCAGGTAACGGGCGAGGTCCTGGGTGCAGAACCCGCCCTGACTCTGCCGATCCACCGGATTGCGACTCGACTGCTGATACCAGTCAACTGCTGGCGGGCAGCTTGAACTGCTGTCGCCCCGCCAGAGTATATCTCGACTAGCTCTACATCGAGAAGAAAGTCGTCTCGGGCGCCGCGTCGTCGGCGGCGGGGCGGGCGGGCAGCTGGATCTGCTGTCGCCTCGCCGGAGTGTATCTCGACTAGCTCTCCATCGAGAAGAGCGTCGACTCGTGCGCCGCCTCGTCGGCGGCGTGGCGGGCGAGCAGCTGGATCTGCTGTCGCCTCGCCAGAGCATATCTCGACTAGCTCTTCATCGAGAAGAGCGTCGTCTCGTGCGCCGCCTCGTCGGCGGCGTGGCGGGCGAGCAGCTGCATCTGCTGTCGCCTCGCCAGAGCATATCTCGACTCGCTCTACATCGAGAAGAGCGTCGTCTCGTGCGCCGTCTCGTCGGCGGCGTGGCGGGCGAGCAGCTGGATCTGCTGTCGCCTCGCCAGAGCATATCTCGACTAGCTCTTCATCGAGAAGAGCGTCGACTCGTGCGCCGCCTCGTCGGCGGCGTGGCAGGCGGGCAGCTGGATCTGCTGTCGCCTCGCCAGAGTATATCTCGACTAGCTCTTCTTCGAGAAGAGCGTCGTCTCGTGCGCCGTCTCGTCGGCGGCGTGGCGGGCGGGCGGCTGGATCCGCTGTTGCCTCGCCAGAGCATATCTCGACTAGCTCTCCATCAAGAAGAGCGTCGTCTCGTGCGCCGCCTCGTCGGCGGCGTGGCGGGCGGGCAGCTGGATGTGCTGTCGTCTCGCCAGAGCATATCTCGACTCGCTCTACATCGGCTAGAGCGTCGTCTCGTGCGCCGCCTCGTCGGCGGCGTGGCGGGCGAGCAGCTGGATCTGCTGTCGCCTCGCCAGAGTATATCTCGACGAGCTCTTCATCGAGAAGAGCGTCGTCTCGTGCGCCGCCTCGTCGGCGGCGTGGCGGGCGAGCAGCTGGATCTGCTGTCGCCTCGCCAGAGTATATCTCGACGAGCTCTTCATCGAGAAGAGCGTCGTCTCGTGCGCCGTCTCGTCGGCGGCGTGGCGGGCGAGCAGCTGGATCTGCTGTCGCCTCGCCGGAGTGTATCTCGACTCGCTCTATCACGCGCGTCCTCGTCCCCACCTGCTCTGCTTCAACGTGCTGCCATGGAGCCAGCGCGCCTCGCGCCATGATTCAATCGCCCCCACCCGCCCTCTTCCTGGCGATATTCATGGCTCAGAGCTTCTATCACTGCACTCCAATCCGCTGCGACCTCAAACACTATCCAGGTTAACATCGCTTGGGTCTGTGCGCGTGTTCGTGACCGCCGATCCTGCTGCTGGTAGGCACATCGAGCTCTGGCTGCTGGCGCGATTCCCTTGCTTGTGGACAGACTTCTATGCTGCAGATCTTCTCCGAGCCGCAAGGATGGTTGACGAACAACAAGGATCCCATCCCTGCCCTTGCCGCCGACACTGCACTCGCCCGCCACGCTCTCGCGCGTTCTCCTCTGCTGCAGGCACGACACCTCATGCGGGACTGTAGGCTCGGCCGCGTCGCGTCACTCTCCACACGGCACCGCCACCGCCTCCGGCATCGCCACCACCCCTCGCCTCCGCCACCCCTTTTTGCTACTGACGCTCTGGCCGCCGAACCAGATCCCAGAAAAAACAGAGCGCGCCGCAGAAACCGACCGACCCTGGAGCCTGGTTTTTCGGCTATGGGAAACCGCCATGGGAAACCGCAGCAGAAACCCTATGCGCTATGGGAAACCGAGGTCTGGTATCTGATTTATGCACGAATGCTCACATGATAAAGCCGCTTCCGTATTATTTAATGGCCGCTAGGCACTTGTGCCACCCGACGACGCAGGGCAGACGATGTGGAGGCGGAGCAGGACGCGCAGGGCGAGACAAGGAGGGAGCAGGACTTTGCGGACATGCGGAGATCAGCAGGAGGATGTACGAAGAGATTAGGAGCAGCAGGGACCCGAGGGACCATGTGGAAGACGGCTAGTGCTAGTCCCCCATCGGGAGGACGACCCCGCTCCCCGGCTAGCCGCCGACCACAGTCCACACCCACAAAGAACACCCTGCACAAAGATCGCACGGGCGGGGACCTATTCCTTTTTACCCATCTCACACGGTAGAGGTAAATAACGGACACCTCTCTCTACTGCGGTGAGATGGGTAAAAAGGAACAGGTCCTCGCCCTTGCGATCTTTGTGCAGGGTTCTTTGTGGGTGTGGTCGGCGACTAGCCGGGGTCGTCCTCCCGATGGGGGACTAGCACTAGCCGTCTTCCACATGGTCCCTCGGGTCCCTGCTGCTCCTAATCTCTTCGTACATCCTCCTGCTGATCTCCGCAAAGTCCTGCTCCCTCCCTCGTCTCGCCCTGCGCGTCTGCTCCGCCTCACCGTCTTCTGCCCTGCGTCGTCTGGCGACGGGTCCTCCATAGTCGGTCGAGGTCGCCGCCCTCCTCGTGCCTCTTCCCAACGTTCCCTCGGCGGCCGATGCCGTCTGCTCCGGCTCCCCAGTCCCCGGGTCTGCCCTGCTCTCGTCTGCGCTAGTCTCTGCTTCGTCCTCACCGGCGTCTCTCCTCTTCCTAAATAAATAAATAAAACGGACACCTCTACTAGGAGATGCAGATGGGTAAAAAGGAACAGGTCCCCGCCCTGCGGTGTTTGCAGGGTTCTTTGTGGGTGTGGTCGGCGACTAGCCGGGGTCGTCCTCCCGATGGGGGACTAGCACTAGCCGTCTTCCACATGGTCCCTCGGGTCCCTGCTGCTCCTAATCTCTTCGTACATCCTCCTGCTGATCTCCGCAAAGTCCTGCTCCCTCCCTCGTCTCGCCCTGCGCGTCTGCTCCGCCTCCCCGTCGTCCGCCCTGCGTGTCGTCTGGCGACGGGTCCTCCATAGTCGGTCGAGGTCGCCGCCCTCCTCGTGCCTCTTCCCAACGTTCCCTCGGCGGCCGATGCCGTCTGCTCCGACTCCGCCGTCCCCGGGTCTGCCCTGCTCTCGTCTGCGCTAGCTTCTGCTTCGTCATCACTGATGTACGTCCTCTTCTTTCTCCTCTTGTTGTATGCTTTGTACATCGCGTCGATTCCTTTTCGCGTGAGCACCACCCTGAAGCCCGCCCAGCAGCTGAACCGCTCCCTAAGTCGAAGGAGCATCATCAGTCTCACCCACTTCGCTCGCTGCCGACTGTCTCCGCTCCCTCCCGCTTGGGCCGCCGTCGCGGCCCTCGTTCGTCCCACTGGCTGTCTGGCTGTCTCCTCTTCAATCTGTAGAGAGGTGTCCGTTTTTATTTTCTCATTTATTTGTGCCACCCGAGCTGCCGGGCTTCGGCCGCTGTCTGTGAGACACATCCACACACGCACGCTCACGTCTGCACCAGTATCAGTGTCACAATCAGTCCCACGGCATCCTCTCGTCCGCAGACCCCGTGGCAGACCCCGGGGGCGCGGCCGCGCTCTCCCCGCGCGCCTCGCCCGATCCCACCGTGCTGGGCAGCAGCTCGGACATCTCACGCGGGGTCGGCTCGCGGCCGACCCAGCAGCCGACAGGGAGGTACTGCTCGCCGCCGCCGCCCTCGAGCCGCCGGTAGAGGACGCGCCGCCCGTCCTGGCGCGCCATGCGCAGCGCGCCGAGGATGGGGTACATGAAGGTAGTCCCCGAGTAGAGGAGCCGGAAGTGGTAGATCTCGGCGAAGCTCTCCGCAAAGGCCAGCCGCTCGGCGCGGCCGCGCACGCCCATCACCCCGGAGCTGGACTGGCGGTCCTGTTCACGGCTTGAGGTGTGAACAGACGCCGTTCACGCCCGTCACCCCGGAGCTGGACTGGCGGTCCTGTTCACGGCTTGAGGTGTGAACAGACGCCGTTCACGCCCGTCACCCCGGAGCTGGACTGGCGGTCCTGTTCACGGCTTGAGGTGTGAACAGACGCCGTTCACGCCCGTCACCCCGGAGCTGGACTGGCGGTCCTACACCGGGCGGGGAGGCGGGGGGGCGGGGGGGCGGGGGGGCGGGGGTAGGGCCGGAGATGTTGCCGTGTCGGGCCAGGGGCGAGGTCAGGGCGAGGGGCGAGGTCAAGGCAAGGGGTTGCTAGCGATGTTTGGGTCCGGCGGTCGGGATCCTGCAGCAGCGGGTTGATCAGCACGACGGCGGAGCCCTGCGAGACCGCCGCCTCGCTCAGCGCCTCGAGCGGCGGCACAATCGGAGCGCCCACCATCGACTGCGGCGCGAGGACGAGGAGCACCTGCAGGGTGCAACAGTCCAGGTCAGGGACGTGCCCTGGCGACCACCGGCTGCGGGCGAGCCCGCACGTCGTCGTCCGGCGCCACCTCCTCCCCACCGATGGCGCCGAACCGGACGAGGGCGTCGGCGGCACCGGCTCCGAGCAAGCCCTCGTTCGGCTCGCCCTCTCCCGCCTGCGGCTGCGCGACGCCGTGTCGCCGACCGAGTCAGGGGCGAGTGATGGACGAGTCTCGGGCAAGTGCCGCCTGCCAGTCCATCATACCAAGCAGCTTGCTCACCTAGAAGGCTCCTAGACGGCTCCGAGAAGGCTCCTAGACGGCTCCTAGAAGGCTCCTACGCAGCAGCTTGCTCACCCCCGCCAGCACGCGAGGGACGCCCGCGAGCACGCCCTCGCCCATCGAGCCTACCCGAGATCGGCCGAGATCAGCCGAGATCGGCCGAGATACGCGAGCACGCCCTCGCCCTTCGAGCCTACGGGACGGCGCCGAGGGCCTTCAGAGAAGGCTCCTGTGCGAGCATGCTCACCTCGCCCGTCGAGCCCTGCACGCACACGCGAGTGTGGAGGCCGCACGCCGCGAGGTCGAGCGAGACCTGCGAGACGGCGGACGAGACACAACAGGCGTGGACCTGGTCGGCAGAGGCGACAAGGCGACGAGGTGGCGAGGCCGACACCTTGCGCACGAGCTCGAGCATGCTTCCTACCCGGTACGAGTCCATCTCCATGTTCAGCTCGGGCGGCGCAACAAGCAGCTTCATCCGGCGCGGGCAGGCCTAGGGAGATATGAGGAGATATGAGGAGATATTGGGAGGTATGGGGAGATCAGCCTCATCCGGCGCGGGCAGGCCTAGCGAGATATGAGGAGATATGAGGAGATATTGGGAGGTATGGGGAGATCAGCCTCATCCGGCGCGGGCAGGCCTAGCGAGATATGAGGAGATATGAGGAGATATTGGGAGGTATGGGGAGATCAGCCTCATCCGGCGCGGGCAGGCCTAGCGAGATATGAGGAGATATGAGGAGATATTGGGAGGTATGGGGAGATCAGCCTCATCCGGCGCGGGCAGGCCGGGTCGGCGACAGCCGCCTGCACCGCCGCCGCGACGTCGGAGTAGACCATCTCCCTCACCTCGCGCGGGTACGGGGTGGTGTTGAGCCACAGGTCTCTCGGCAGCGACCAGTCGTCCGTCGCGCCAGGCAGCCGAAGCAGGGCGGCGCTGCTGCCTATTTGCCACCATTGTTAGTCGTCGGTGTTGTGGGTTGCTGGGCAGCCCAAGCAGCAGGGCGGCGCTGCTGCCCGGGGCCAGCGCCGGCTCGCTCCCCTTGTCCGCCGGCTCGGCAGAGAGGCGGAGCAGCTCGTCCCGCAGCCCGTCCACCTGCATCAACTCTGTTTTGAGTTAGCGGAGGGCTCGTGAGAGCGGGCAGCTCAGCCCGCGCCAGCCACCGTCTCGACGGCGTGCGGGAGGGGGAGCTCGCTCTCGACGTGCTCCAGCTCCTTGCGCCCCCGCACCGCCACCCCCACCCGAAAGGAGAGCGCGGCGCCGGAGACCGAGGTCAGCGTCGCCGTGCGCGGGGTCCAGGAGCCGCGGCTCCACATGTTCCGCCGCCGCGCCTTGTCTCCCACCTCCGTCCAGCGCAGCAGCCAGCCCAGCATCTCGTCGCCCAGCTCCGCGTTGAGGAACTCCACCACCCGCCCGGCCGCGCCCTCGTCGAGCGGCTCGCCTTCTGCGCGTCGCGAGGCGACCGCCGTCCGCAGCCGCTCGATCGGCGCAGGGCCGTCGGTGGGGAGGACGGTACCGCCGACGATATTTGGAGCCGGCGCCGCTGGCGCTGCCGAAGCTTGTGGTGAGGCGGCGACGTCGGCTGAGGCGGCGCCGTCAAGAGGCGAGGCGGCGGCGGTGGAAGGTGAGGTGACGGCAGGGGAGGTGGCAAGCCGCCGGCCACCACGCCGCAGCGCAGACAGCTTCTGCTTGATCTCGTCCTCGGAGAGCTGCATAACCAGCTGCACTTGCCGAGGACGCAGCCGTGCCGACGCGCAGCTGTGCGGCTGAGGCACGTAGCCGGCGGCCGCCGCGGCGTGAGCACGCCGGGCCACTGCGCCTTTGCCGTGAGCCAGGCTGCTGCAGGAGACAGGACTCTTTGCCGTGAGCAGCGCGAGCCCCAGGTGGGAAAGGCAGAGCAGCAATATGGTCCGACACATCTAAAGTGGGCCTTGTGTTTCGGCTAGCGACGAGAGATTGCTCAGAGCCGCGCAGCTCGCAAGCTCGCGCGAAAGCCAATCGGTTCTTTCTTTTTTTGAGCTGCCTTCGAGGCGGACACACGGATGGCAGATCGCTCTCGGGCCCACAGACATCCCGTACACCCGCCGCCCCCGCGCGCGCCCCGCCCCGGCCGGGAGAAAGGGGAGTGACAGTTTGGGACGGCGCCAGACGAGACTCGCACTCCATTTGCGAGAACGCAGAAAGAAGTGCCCCACCGATTTCTCGTTTTGCTTCCGATTCCGAGTTCTACAGCTTGGGTGCTGGCCGCAGAGTTCCCGGGGCGGCTGGCCTCTTCGTCATGCTGCTCCTCTGTGCCGCTCGGCCTCCTCCAGCTTCACGGCGATCCGCTCCGGCGAAAATGCTGCGAAATATCGACCGCTGCGAGGCCCTCATCTTCACCACTTCGAGCGCCGTCGACCAGCCTACCTCACGACTCCGGCGCGGCGTCTCGCGGCTGCTTGCCGAGGCTAGCGACGACGGCGCGCTGGTCGCGCTTCTCGAGCCGCCCGGCAGCCCAGAGCACGAGCCCTTGCCGGGCGCCGTCACATGGCCGACTAATGCCGCCGAGCCGACCGTGGCGGAGCTCACATCCTTGCGCGAGTCGATGCACATCGCGGCGCCTGCGGGCTTTGCCGGTGCGCCCGGCGCCGCGTGGGGTCGCGAGCCGGTGGCGGCACGCTGCGTCGTCCTGGTCACTTCGCTGGGCGCGACGGCGGCGGCGCTAGGTGCCGGGATGCGGTCGGTCGGTGTGCCGCCGGAGGAGGAGGGCTGGCTGGACGAGAGGCCGACGCTGCGGCGCGGGAGAGACGCTGCCCACACGCCTACGCGTGCATAGGAGGGCTGGCTGGACGAGGAGATCGACGGCGTCGCGGACGCGTGCCTGGACGGCGGCATCGGCGAAGGGCCGCTCGCGCTGCGGCGCGGCGCTGTCTTCGGCGAGAGTGGTGTGGAGAGGGCGGTGTGGCAACAAGCTCGCCTGCTGGCGTGTTAGGCTCGCCGACTTGAGCACGCCCGGCGCGTACTGGCTCAACCCTGCGCTGCCTCGCGACCTGGAGGGGAGAGCGGTCGACCCGACCACCGGCGCGGTGGTGGCACGCGCCGCAGACGGGGAGGGTGCAGGGGAGGAGGAGGTGGCGCAGGTGACAGAGGCGGCGGAGGAGGAGGAGGAGGAGGAGGCGGAGGCGGCGGCGGAGGAGGAGGCGGCGGAGGCGCTACACTCCGCGCTCTCCGACATTGCTCCTCTGCCGCGTGAGGCGGGCGAGGGAGGCGAGGGGGGCGAGGGAGGCGAGGGGGGCGAGGGAGGCGAGGGAGGCGAGGGAGGCGCGGCGGGCGAGGGGGGCGAGGGAGGCGGAGGCGCAATCGAGGTTGAGCCGAGCGGCGCGCTGGCGGAGCTGGTGCTGAGCGGCGCGGTGCGCAGCCCCTCTCTCTCCCGCGCGGCAGCAGGCGCGTCCGCGTGCATGACGCGCCTGAGACACGCCCCGCAGGCGCTGCTGGTCGACGTGCGGCAGCCGGCAGAGTGGCGGCTCGATGGGCATCTCGCCTGCTCCGCCAACCTGGCCGCCTACACGTGGGAGCACGGCTACTATCTGCCCGACGCGACCTTCGCCGCCCGCGTGGCGGAGGCGTGGCCGCTCGACCAGCCGATCGTGCTGCTCTGCGCGGACGGCGCTCTCTCGGAGGGCGCCGCCGCCGTGCTGGCGGCCGCATCCTTCTCAGACGTTTTTGTGGTGCGCGGCGGGCTGCGGGCGTGGGAGGAAGCGGCGGAGGAGGAGGGCCTTCCGCGGCTGGTGGTGTCTGACGATGGAGAGGGCGGGCTCGCGGGCTCTTGGGCGTGAGGAACAGCACGTTCGAGCATATGTCGGGGAACGCCGGGAAGGGACTTACCACCGCCCAAAAGGCAAACGTTAGACTCGGTCGAAAAGAGAGACCGTGATCCGTGTGTGCACCCCC